CACAGCCACTAACCATTAAACCCAGTCATCTCTCCCAGTGTCTCTTCAGTCCCATGGAGTTGCCCTGCAGCTAAGAACATCTTCCTACCCCTGAGACCAGAGCGCTGTCCTGACCACACTTATCTATTTACAGACTTCTTTGCCTCCCACAGTGTTCTCACCAGGACGACACACACACAGACAGATCTGGTGTGGAAAGAGGAAGTGCTGAAGGCAGGGCCGACCAAATGACACAGTGGCTCGGCCGCGGTGGAGCACAGAGGCACCGTGTGAGCGAGGAGACAAACTGTAGGGTATGAAGTTTGAGGCTGTGAAGAATGTCAGGAGGGCAGCGTGAAGAGCTGCACTCAACAAACTCCCACTGCAGCATCCCAAGGAGGAAATGAGAGCTGGTATTAACAGGCTGTGAAGAGGAGTTGTTGCTGTTTTTTTAAAGGTTTGTATAGAAAATAACAGAAAAAGCATGCTGTGGGAATGCAGTAAATACCAGTGTGGTGAAACTCATAATGTTTGAGCTGCACAGTCACAATCACTGCAAAACATGGGGGAAAAGCCTGAAAAGCCATGATGACGCATGTCAAACACATAGGTGGTCACAATTAGACCCTAAACAGCGCTGACACTTTATGGGAACTTTGCTCACCATTATTTCTGACAGCCTTGACAGAAACTGCACTGGATGAACTTTATCAAACTGCTATTTACCGTCAGGCCCACACAAAGAAATGGCAGGGTCCTGAAAAAGGTCCAGTGAATGACAAAGACGTCCAAATAATCACATAACAAGCTCACTAAACTGACGCTGTGCTAAAAAGACTGGAAACTGCATCAAGGAGACATTTGACGTTTGTTATTTGCCTCAGTGCAATCTTGAGCGCAGTTTGTTGCCAACATTGCTTATCTGTTTCATTGGTGGTATTTATCTTTATTGTTGGGGTTCGGAGTAGAGCGGATGCTCCTTTGCGTCAAAAGGGGTCAGTTGAGGTGGTTGGGGCATCTGATCAGGATGCCTCCTGGGCGCCTGCTGTTGGAAGCGCTCCGGGCACGTCTCACTGGTAGGAGGCCCTGGGGCAGACCCAGAACACTCTGGAGGGATTACATATCTGATCTGGCCTGGGAACGCCTTGGAGTCCCCCAGGAGGAGCTGGACAGTGTTGCTGTGGAGAGGGACGTCTGGGGTGCTTTGCTCAGCCTGCTGCCCCCACGACCCGGCCCCAGATAAGCAGATGAAAAAAGATGGATGGATGGAGCAGAGTAGTCACAGTAGGGTGTTTTTTCCACTCACTGAAGCATCTTTACCAGATTTGGATGCATGTTCCCTGTCAGAGTATCTAAAACAAAGAGACTGAAGACATGAAGCTGAACATGTGCAAGGCCTCACAAAGACAAGGCTTGAGGATCCCTCCAAACAGACTACTCTCTCCTGGTATAGGAATTTGGGAAAGAGGCATCCCATTGAAGCTGAACAAAAGTCACTGAATACAGCAAGTTAAATGATCATCAATTTTTATCGATCTTGCGTTCAACATTTACAGCGTGCAAGACCTAATAGGGGACATTTCATACATAAAGGCAGCTCACAGTGCTTTAAGGCATACAGAGAACATGATAAATGGACTCTTGGAGCTGTTAGCCGACTGCTACATGATTCAAAGCAGACTTAGACTAACAGGAATATTTTAAACATGATTCCTAAACACACCAGAAGTCAGCTGAGAAAAGACATTTGTTTCCATCCTGCATAAAATAAAAACATGAACATGTTTTTCAAACCTGCCTGTGAATAATACCACTGTTACTCACCACTCAAGTGACTCTAAACAGAGCTGTGCAGGGCCTACGTCAATCTATATGGACTTCCTCCAACAGTTTATCACTGTCAACATTTAACATTGCTTACAAGCCACAAAAATCCTTCCAAACATGCAGTTGGGGCCCAGCGTCATTCACTGTTCCCTGCTACAATGTATTTGCCCTGCCTAGAATTTTCATATGGTCCCAGTGTGACAGTCAGTCCCTGGGTTGTCACAGTTCCACTGACCACAATGCAATAAGTGTGGTTTATGTCTGTAGCTCAGCTCCCTGAGTGAAGAGAGAGGAAAGAACAGTTTCTTCTCTGCAGGAGGAGACGCAGCGTGCAGAGGCAAGCTTATGATCTCAAACCTTTTCTGGAGCCTCAGTGAACAAAACAGAGAAGGTGATTATCTTTAATGCAGCCTGGTGAAACAACAGAGTCTGTATGAGTCCACAGCCAAGAATCAGAGCTGTCAAGTTAAAGTTAAGTCTCAGTTGCCTACTTATATAGAGTTCAGTATTTTGGTTAATATGCTTTTTTGAATTCTTGCAAAGGGTTTGTCGATTGAAACCTTGCATGTCAGTAAATATGAAGTGACAACCAGCAGCCAGTTAGCTTAGCTTAGCATAAAGGCTGTAAACAGTGGTAAACCGCCAGCCTTGCTCTGTCCTAAGGTAACAATATCCACCAACCAGCACCTCTCAAGCTCACTAATAAACATGTTAAATGTTCCTGGTTCTAGCTTAACAAAAGCCAGATTGAAATTACAGCTTTTGAACCGAAAACTTGATATATTCAAAGTTTTTGCCTTTCAAGACTCAAACAAAGTCTTTAGGAAGTCAATTCCTGGTTGTGACTTATGTCTTACTAAGACATACTAAGGCCCAATCCCAATACACCCCTTAACCCTACCACTTGCCCCTACCCCTCCGTTTTGCGCGTTCACGCATAGGGGTAGGGATGTCCCGATTCTCATTGAGGCAGAGGGGAAGGGTGCTAGGGCTAGGGCTATATGGCCCTCCAAATGGAGTTTTTGAGAGGCACACTTCAAAGCGAGTGCTACGAGAAATCTCCCAGAATGCCTTGTGAATCACCGGCAAGATGACAGGGAAGGCTTCAGAGGCAATGAAAGAAAACCATAAATCTAAGTATTTTCTTCGTAACTAAAGATTTAAAGACTATGATAACCATCGGAAATGTCTTTTCAATGTATTATATACATTTGTTCTAACAAACATAACAAAAAACAATAGTTGTGAGGTTTCCCCGGCAACATACTCGTTGCGTCTTTTTATGACATCACTGACAACTAATGATGACATTTCCGGGTATGAAGGGTTGTCCCATTTCATAGGGGAATATTTCAACCCCTACCCCTTGTAACTTTGTTGCAAAGAGCAAGGGGCACTTGAAAAAGAGGGGTAGGGGTATGGGTAGGGGCAAAAATGAGAAATGGGATTGGGCCTAAGACTAAGGACACAGCCTTTGTACATAGGGCGCCTGCTCTACCAGGTGAGCTAGTGGGCACCCCGATATGTACATTCTGACATCAGAAACAAAAGAATCCTCTGGCCTCAATTTCAAGTGTCTGAAAAGTGACTGAAATGACCCTACTCCTGGGGCACATTCAATCTCAAAATGTTTTGCATCTTTTTTGAATGACACGTTCCTTTAAAAGGTATGAAACAGTGTACAACGTGATTTTGGGTACATTTTCTCTCATTTGGTGGGTGTTTCAGAGGTGTTAAAGGCATTTTGCCTCTATAGACAGGACAGTAAAGTGTGAAGGGGGAGAGAGAGAGAGAGAGAGGGGTAATGACATGCAGCAAAGGGCCACAGGCTGGAGTCAAACCCCGGCCGCTGCAGCAGCAGCCTTGTACATGGGGCGCCTGCTCTATCCACTAAGCCACCGACAGCCAAATGCACCACCATTTTCAGCCCGTTTTCACTCTGAGGTTGTCGAAATCCAGCGCATATGCAGTGACTTGCGGTGTCAGACACTGTCCTTTCACGTCAGCATGATATGTTGCCAGTCACCATTAGAGTTTAAAGGCGCTCAGCAGCTTCAGGGGGAAACGTGGTGGGACAAGAACGAAAGTTAAGGCAGCAAAAGTCCAAGTAGGGTGGACAGGGGTGGTGGTGGATGGGTCCAACAAACACTGACTTCCACCTGGAAGAGTGGTGTTCGTGTCCCGTAAGATTGTAAAGGCAAACCTTGTTCTTTTTTCCTAAACCTAACCACATGCGTTTGTTCCCTGAACCCAACCATGTGCATTAGTTGATGGAGGACAAACACCAATTTGTGTTATTGTACTGATGTAGCTCTTTTATTTTGAGAGAGACTGTATGTAAATAGTAAATTTCCTGTGAATACGGAAGTGTATTTTGAAAGAAGACAATGCATGTAACAGGCAGAACTTGACATGACATCCCAGAACGTCAACAACCAACGCACCCAGGGTACCTTGCACGCTGTATCTGGATGTGCAAAGTCTTTGGCCAGGTGGGAGTGAGAATGTGTCGCCATTTTTATTTGAATCAACGTTTTGCTACATTTTGACGGGGCTGAATGCAGCCCAGAAATGACCCTGTGGGTGAACTCTGACCCTATTTTTAAAAGTTTCAGCACCAAGATTTTTTAACAGCACCCTCTAGGGGATAAGAACTAATAAATGTGACAACCAACCCCGTTCTCCCCTACAGAAGAAAAATAGGCTCTGAAAGTCTGCACATTGACACAGATTTTATCTAAAAAAATATTATTTTTTACTGTTGTACCATACTACATTTGTTTGGATGTGAGTGACTGTATTCCAAATCTCATTTTCATAATTCTACACGTGATCATTTTAATATTCTGTATTATATTTCAGTATCTGTGAGTGTATCCTACTTATTCCCAAGACCTGTGAGAAAATGCGTTGATACTCATGAGAAAAGAGAAAGGGAGAACTTGTAATTTGTAATGAGCTGCATCACACAGACAGAAGAAGCAAGCGTGAATAAATCATCCCGACGCGTTTATTGGAGGCGTTTATGGGAAGCGGAGTCGCGGAATCCAGGAACTCGTCATCATCTCTCACATCATCTCTGCAACTTTTCTTCTTCTTCTTTCTCTCGGTCATACGGAGTGGGGGAAGGGAAAGAGGGAGGGAGGAGAAAAGAGGACGTCAGATGGTAGTGGGATGGCTTTATGTGAGGGCAGAAGGAAAGAGTCCCCGAAGAAAGGAGACTCGAGTGAATGAGCGCTCGGGCCGCACCGGGAAGAGGAGCGGCGATTCAAAACAAAGGACAGCTTCTTCACCTCTGAGCCTGCAAAATCTCTCCACTTTGACTTCAAGTGAGTAGAAAACAATGCGACAGGGACACATAATGTGGTGTTTTAGACACTGTTTTCACACATCTCCTCTTTGGCTTGAAGATATGACTCAGAAAGTGTCATTGATGAACAACTGGGCTGACACACTCATGCAAGACGTCTTTCAAAGGTTAAAGTTCCTCTAACTTATTTAATATTTTTCTGAGAATCAAGCTTTTACTTTCAAACAAGTGTTTATTGACAGCTCTTATTAAGGAGTTTAAGTTTGCATGCTCCATTGATTCTGGTGCTGAGGCAGCCACCTGAACCCAGCTATTTTGTTGAGGGATGTAGACTGAGAGAAGGTGAGATATCTCCAGCTGCAGCTTTGTGTTCAGGTACAACATCTGGCAGCAGTTTGACATCACAGCACAGTGCCTTATTAGACACATCACCTCCACCAGAAGCCTCACATACAGCACTTTTTGTGTTGTTTTTATTACTTTTATAACTGTCTTTGCACACATGCCCACTCAGCAGTTCTCTCAGTTTCTCTTTCCACCACAAGCCCGTGTCCTTGAAGTGCAGGGAGGAGGTCCATCCATGTGTGAGCCACCCATGGAGCTCTGCGCCTGATACACACTGCACAGAGAGGGGAAGTGGTGCTACATCATAAACTAAACAAAACCAGGAAAACGTGCAGTGTTAATTCTCGCTGAGTTCAAGGACAAACCGTAGTGAAGTGATGAGAGGAGGGAATCAACATCTCTCAGAAAGTACCTAAAAACGTTTATACTCTTGCAAATCTACTTTCTTTTAACATCCAGTAAAATTCCAAGACTTATTTTACGCTGCACTTATGCTGTAATTGACTTGTGATTGTCCTAACCTGCCTACTTTTCCTAGAATGAGTTTTGACAACCCCCAGACGACAAGTGCAAACTTGTTACGTGTCACTGGATGGAGCTACGTGATAGTGATAGCAGAGGGAGATTTTTTTCCAGTTGTAAAAAGCTGTGCTCGTAAGTGAATGCAAAAAAATGGTCTTGACAATATGTCAGATGGATCTATTGAGGGTTACAAACTTTAGTTAAACTGGAAGCTCTGCCTCTTGTGTTTTTTTTTCTCTTTCTGTGCAAATGTGCTTTGAACATCAGCAGAAAGTTGTGAGACAAAAAGGAATTTTTGTGATTTATGAGTGGATGTAAGAAAGAATAACACTTAAAAGACACAAACAAACCATACAAATAGTTTTGTATAAGTTATCCTGTTAACTACTCACTGACAGTCTGGAAAGGATCATGCGTTTGGCTGTGTGTGTGTGAGGGTGTGTCTGTCTGTTTGGAGTTAATCTCGCACACTACTGGACCAATCATCCTAATTTTTTGTGCGCACATTTATGACTGTATGCCCAAAGATCTCACATGGTTGCAGTGATTCACAATTTTTTGAAAAACCTGTTTTATTGACTGTCTTATACCGTCACTGACTGCTGACTCCACACTCCTCTTGAGCAGCCAGTAGAGGCCACAGGTTTTCCAAAAAATCTGCTCAGCTAAAAGCAACACATCTTACATAGTCTGGTGCAGCCGGTACTTTGTCCTTTGCCATTGCTAAAAAATTGACTTCCATAGAAAAGTTTGGTCTCATTTTGAAGCAGAGCAGCTGCTGCTTCCATACCCGATGTGTTATGATCTGCTAAAATTAGGCATCTTAAGAGATGTTATATTCGCCGCCATTTTGACTGTTAGTGAGCTGGCCAGGACAGTTCCACCTGCCGCAGCTCTCAGTGTCCCGGCTGCAACTTTGTTTTGTTCTGTCATCCGCATTGTATCATACCACACTGGGAGCATTTCAGAAGTGGAGTGTTTTGCCCGATTTTGTAGACTTGCAGATTTTGTTGATTTGGTCATTTTTCCGTCATAGTTGTGCTCCTACGGTAAGTATGTAAGCAGGCTGTGTAGTTAAATGGTTTCTTTTTTGTCTGTTTTAATTGTTGTTATTTCCTACTTTGTTGCACTGTAGCCTACAGATGAAGTTAATACCATTGAAAGTCCAGTTGTTTTCTGAGCTTCTGGCAGCTTCTTAAACACGTCTACTGGAATTAAAGGATTGTCTAGAGTGGTTGCGCTCAGCACGGGCAGTTTCCCTGGTGGAGATCTGCTCTCTATTGACTGCACTTGTCCATTTGACATTATTGCTTATTGTAGATTTGTTTTGATTGATTTAGGTTGTTTGATGGATTCTCTTCCTTCTAGGAGGCCACTGAAATTGCAAATTATCATTAATGGATCTTAATATTTACAACAAACAAACTGATCTTCTGATGTGAAATCAGTGAAGTGCCCCTTTAATGGAAGAAAGTGTGTTGCTTGTGCCAAATTAGTTTGTTAATGCAGCGGTCTCATGTCGGAGAGGAAGACGTGTAATTGCACCAACAACCAGATTTCACAACAGTATTACCACTTTGTGGCAAAATAGCGATGACACAATGTTTGTATTGATGGATTACCTATCACTAGCATGTGTCAGCAAGTTTTCATGTTGTCGCAGGAACAGTGGGAACCAGTAGCTGCCCGGATCTAAAAACTAAATTAAATGAAGTGATAGGAAGTATAAGCAGCTATCAGTTGTTCGTCAATGTGCAAAGAATACCTATGAGGTCCTTCAAACATCTCACATCATGAAAGGGACGGTGTAGAGTTGTTAAGAAAGAGAAGAAAGTTTGTGTGTTCATCCATCATCTTTGTAGAAACAAATGAGAGAGCTGAAGAAGTGAGGGGTGGGGTGGTGGTGGTGGTGGGGGGGGGGGCAGAGCAAGGCCATGTCATTCCTGTCTTTGTGCAAGTGAAATGTGAGGGTCACTGAGGGGCTTTGTGCGTCAGAAGCTGTGGGGCCACCACAGAGTCAGCGCGGGGAGTGAGGGGCCGGGGTGTTGCACAGATTGAATAGGTTAGGGGCCACAGCGGTCTGTCTTTGAGAATGAAGGAGTGCATTCTGGGCCGACGGTGGCATGTCTTTGAGAGCCGGAGAGTGAGTGAGGGGGCCGGTGTCGGCATGTCTTTGTGCGGCCTTTGTCTGAGTTGAGTGGCACCAGATGAAGAGGGCCGACTTTATTCAGGCTTTCTGGCACATGCATGCACAAACACATGCGCACAAACGGGCTTGGCTCGTACTTTCCTCTGGGGAAGTCATGCGTTTTGATGCAATTACACCCTGGACGAGTGAGCACAGGCTGGCACCTTTCACGGTTTATGGGTGTGTATTTGTTTTTATGTTTGTGCGTCAGTAAAGTGGGCTGTATTGTTTCAGCACACTGTTGGAGGGCTTCTCACTGTTGACTTGCTGTTTACATTTCGGGGCCTCTTATTGTCATTGAAACCTCAGGCCCCCTGGTTGTATTTGAAAGCTCAAACTGCTGGCACGTCTTCACTCTTTATACACAGTCGGAGAATAACATTTAATGGCTTTTTACAGCTTGGATTGTTTTATAGTGTTTAATCTAGGTCTGTAAAATAAATCTAAATTAACTCTGGAGCACCAAACATGCATTTGATGGCCGCCATCACTCACTGGATGAAGTTAATGAGACACAAGTTGTGGTGAATGCCTATCCATGGGAAACATTTTCTCCTCTTTCATTCGCTGTTTATGGAGGGCTACCAAAGCAGTGGCTCACATGGTTATGGTTAGCAAGAAAGAGTTTCATGACGAGAGCAGCCCGGGTTATTTCATAATATCTGGGATGGTTGAGAAAGCTTGATGTAAATCTTGTGTCTCTTTGTATGTTTTTTGCATGAGTCACTTGTTTGCTATCTCTCTGTTTGTATCATGCTGTGAAAGCAGGTGGATGTTTGCCTCCCCTAAGGCTACGGGTTTCAGGTGTGACAATCAAAGGGAGTCATAATGTACAGCTCATTAGTTTGGTGCGCACGTTCGCTCATTTTTGTCCAGAAGGCTTTGTTCTCGCTTCACCTCTGATGGTATAGTCATGGTTTGGGTTTCACAAGTTCACAAGCTTGCCTTTCAGACCAGGGGCAAAGAAGAGCTCTCTGTCGATCTGTTGTTCAGTACATGAAAATTTACAAGGAATCACTGGAGGGCATGGGTGTCTCTATTCTGGCTAGGTGTTATGGCTTGCCTGCTGTTGCATCATTTGCTCCGCCATGCCAGGACAAAGTCTTGATGAAGACTTTCCTTGAAAATTAATAGGCAGTTGATTGAGAAATCGAGAGCTGAGGGTGTAGTTTTATCTCCCATTGTGTGGGAGGTGTACATTCAGTACTCAAGCTACAGTGCTTCATTCTCCCTTGCCTCACCTGGAGCTCGGCTGCATTCTTTTATGAGAGTGGGATATGTTTGGTCCTGCCCAACTCTGACTGGTATCATACTATCTTCATATCTCTAAGGGTTTTGTATTTTCCTGATTCCCTGAGATTAGGTGTTGGAAATTATAAGATTTTATTGATACTAATGCCATTATTGATTCAGAGGATCGGTCCAATTCTTTCTGGGTGTAAAAAAAAAAGGAGGCCTACACGATTTTTCTGAGGCTGAACACAGCGTAGATGAAATGAGATAATATTTGTACAGCATTTTTCGTAGTCAAAGCAAAAAAATCTACCAACCCTGCCCGCGTGGTGCTAATGTTATTATAACAGATGATATTTACCCTCTGTAATGGACGTGCTGCTCGGTTGGGAAGCAGTGAAACTCATGCGTAGAGGGTCTAATACTTGGCATAGTGTTGGGTAGAACGATGTTTGAGCATATTGCTGGTGTGTCCAACCTTACTTGAAATTGTCATTTACAGGCATTACAAGCAACACTGAAAGGAAGGAAAAAGGAAGCCACGCTTTGGACTGTTTCTTCCTCTACACCATAAATCCTTCTTGTGTCAAGTTTCCAGCAGCATAGACACATTAGTTTGACGTCATTGCATAGTGAAACTATCAGAAAAACTTGCCAGCATTGATGAAAGGAATTGACAAGCTCAGAAGCATATGATTTTGATTCTAATATAGATCTCAACTTGGACCAGT